TCCACCACACTCTGGGGCAGAGAGTTCCACTGCTGAATGGCTCTTCCAGTCGTTCTCATTGCAACGGTGTAGTAACGGTGAGACTGCGGTCTATATTTTTGTTCTTGGAGACCACTGATGGTCCAGGGACCACAGGTTGGAAACCACTGCATTAGAGTGAGTAACTTGTTGATTTCACAGAATGTTTGTTGATCAGTGTCAAACAAAACAGGAGTGAAGTGGGCAGAAATGACTAACTTGATGTTGAAATCACAGAAGTCCTTAAACCCGCCATGCTAGAATCACTTTCTTGTTAAGAAGCATCTTTTGCTGTCCATTAAACCATTACATTATTAATACCATTCTCTTTATTTTCTGTTTTTGTTCCTTCACTTTTCAAGGACCAGTCCAGAACACTCCTCCTCCAACAAGTAAGAGGCATTTTATCCCATTCATAATCAAGTCCTAACAGTTATCAATACACAGATAACAATAAAATGCATTTCTCAGCCAAGCCTTTTCCATTGTTTAAATCATAAATGTGAATGTCGTTCCTGCAAATGATTTGATTTTAGAATGGATAAGGAGCCCATAATAACCAGTGGCCCGCCAGATATTGGACTGTTGTTTGGCCAACTATTTAGCTGCTGGGAGTTGCTTGTTGAGCAATATCTGAAGAATCACTTCTTCCTTATCCTTTACCGTCTTCATGTCATATTTTTCCTACTAACTGCATGGGCTACAGGAGCATCTTTCAAATGATCTGATGTGAGAGATCAGCAATTTGTGGGTTTTTACCAAGGAACTGTCTTCATAATCATATCTCTTGGAGGGAATTACTCATTTTTTTTCTTTGAGATGCCCCAGGGACTACAGCAATGGCTTATAGATTAACACTGATCCTTGGGCCAACATTATGAGTAGCATAAATGATAAAGATGCCCTTCTATTTATCAGAGTGGGGAGGTGGCTGACATTTTGATACACACATTCCAGAACTCACTAGAGTCCATACCCTTGCTCCAAATGTAAAATTTCCTTCCATGGAAGGCTACACTATGCACCTCTGCCACCCAGGCACCAAGCATATATCTTTTTATTTAAACAGGATTATGATAGTTAAGTGGTTATAAGGAGTCTTCTAATTGTATCCCAATATTCTATTTTTATCTTTTATGTTATGTCTTTAAAATGGTTTTCCACTTTGTCATCTTTTAAATATGTTATAAGCCTACTTGGGAAGTATGGCAAGAGAAAAATGGAATGAAATAAAAGTGGAGTTTAGTGGAAATAACCAGAAGCTCACTTCCAATTTTGAATACACATGTGTGCACACCCCAGAAACAATTTTCTTGATCTAATGCAGGAATGGGCAAACTTCAGCCCTCCAGGTGTTTTGGACTTCAACTCCCACAATTTCTAACAGCTGGAGTTGAAGTCCAAAACACCTGGAGGGCCAAAGTTTGCCCATGTCTGCTCTAAAGCAAGAGCAGTCCTGAAGACATACAGAAGTGGTGATTCTACCTGACTGGAAGCAAAAACCTGCTGGCAACTGTTGGAGAGTGCCCAAGGAAAGTACCAAAGTTTCAAATGTAGGCAAGGGGACCTGTTTGTGGGCCACATGTTTGTTGCTCTTCTTGTCTAGCAAAAATGGAAAACATTGGATATTTGGGAAATTGTAATCAAAAACATCAGGTGGGTCAAAAATGCCCTATACCTGGGATAGCTGCATAGGCAGAAAGTGCAGAATAAGGGAACTTAATATTCATTGTTTTGAGAAATTTTGTGTAAGATGGATTCAAATATCCATTAAATCCATTGAATGGGCAATCATGCTTTCAACTCCCATTCTATTTTGTAATAAACAAAACAGATTATCTACAAATTGCAGTGGTATTATTTTCCCCACAATAATTCTCTGCCTTTCTTTCTTTTCCTCCAAGGACCACCTGTTCGTTTCCAGACTACTCCTTCAGCTGGTAAGAAACAGTGCAATTTCCTCATGATGCGATATGAAAACTGAGTACAGAGGCTGTGTAGAAAAGATTTATTCCAAGAAAGTTGCCTCCCAAAAGTGCAAATAGTGCATGATTTATACAAACAGGATTGGCAGCAGGCTTGTGGAGCCTTTAATTGCCTTCTGAAATCTTCTCCTATGCTTCCACTCCATCTATGAAAATTGCAGGTATTGCTCAACCTACAGGTTGAGTCATCTTATCTGGGAATCGGAAATATTCCAAAGCCCAAACCTTTTGCCATTCACAACCAGGGGCGGCTCAAGGCGGTACGCAAATTATTCTTTTGCGTAGAGCGCACGTCTCGGGGCAGGGTGCACTTGAAGAGCGTTGTCTTTCTCTCCTTCTCCTCCTCGCAGGCCAAGGGAGACAAGGTGGGTGTGCGTCCCTCTCCCGGCATTAGGAAGTGCGCGGGGAAGGAGGGCGATGCAGGGCGCGCACTTCCTAATGCCGGGAGGGGGACGCCCATTGGCATTGCTGGGCACTCAGGAAAAGAGGCCTCATGCAGGGAGCATGCCTTCCTCCCAAGCCTGGCACCCAGCCTGGTGAGGAAGGCGCACAGAGCAGCAAAGGGGCGAGGGGGAAGCTGCCAAGGCCCTCCTTCTTGCCTCTCCGTTGCTCCATGCCTTCCTCGCCAGGCTGGGCTCCCAAGCCTGGYGCCCAGCCTGGCAAGGAAGAAGCACAGAGCAGCAGAGGGAGAGGGGGAAGCTGCCAAGGCCCTTTTCGGCAGCACCCACCTCTTTGCCCTTCCTCACCAGGCTGGGCTTCCAAGCCTGGTGCCCAGCCTGGCGAGGAAGGAGCGCGGCGTAGTGGAGGGGGCAGCTGCCGCCGCCGAGGCCCTCTTTGTGCCTGAAAGGAGTGTGTGTGTGTGTATTCAATGATTGGTTGGGGGGGACACCAAAATTCTGTTTGCTTACACCTGAAAATTACCTGGGGCCGTCTCTGTTCACAACCCACTTTTACCTTTGGAGAAAGAGCGCTTCATCACATGTCCAGTGCTTGGAGTTTTTCACCAAGTAGCCTTGAGGGAGAAAGGGGGTTGGGAAGACCTCTTCTATGCGATTCCTGTAAAAAGCAACATTCCAGGTGCTTCCATACTTGCCTTGCAACCAACGAATGGCAGTATGTGGTTGCTTGCTTGCCCTAGAAATAGGATATTGAGATAAGTACAAATCAACTCCATTGGTTGCTGCCTGTTTCCAGTCCATGTAGAATGAAAGAGCATTATGAGGAGGAGGAGGAGGAGGAGAATTTCCCTTCTCTTTTCAGCTATTTTGCCAAAAGGACAGATAGTATTCTGATAGCTAGAATAGCACCCAAGAAGTCTGTTTTTTCGTTAGGCCTTGTGTAAATGAAGTCCTCCCTGCTTTTTTCCTCTGCTCTTCCCCATCAGGGCTCTTTGAAGAAAAATCCATGCGTGATTACTCCTCTTTCCTTCCCATTCCTCATTCACCATGGATGTACATAGATAGATAGCTTTTAAAATGGGTGGGCAAGGGTGGACTTCTAGTCCCAAGCATTTCAGATCAGGATATCTCAACCTCTTTTCCCTTGAGTGCTGGGCTTATAGCTAAGGGCCAACCCAGGCACTGGTCCCCAGCAAGCTTATTGGACTGGGTAGTAGGAAGGGCAGTGCAGCACTCAGTAAAATGCTAAAAAGAAAAGTTTTAAGTGGCTAGAGACATTATGGGATAATAAAGATGGCAGCTGTTTTGCCCAATATTTCTCTTATAAATGTCAGAATCTGTCTTAAATAATCTTACAAAAGAAGGAGGAGGATAGATCCTGTAACTCATGGATCCCAACATTTGCTCCACCATATCATATATTGATATGAGTATAATCACAGTAACCCTTCCAAAGATTTATAGTTCACTAAGGGCTCAGAAATAAATATAGGATTTTCTCCTTTAAAAAAACAACTTTCCAGACTTGTGCAGGCTCAAAACATGAGAAGAGCAAGACTAAACCAGCAACAGCTATTATATCTAACTCTTTAATAAGTTGTACTTATTCTTCATGGCTTTCTATATAACTTTTATTTTTCTTTATACTGTATATATAAAATGTATGAACTTATTTACCAAAATATAACCTGATAAGCCCAGAGACATTCACTTTCCTGCTGAGATTTCCCGGATAGAAAGAGTGTACAAACCCTCTGGGCCTGTTCCCAAGTTAAGACCACTAACACACCCAATGTTCAAATGTATGCAGAGGTGGGTGATTTCCTGCCAGCCCTGATAAACCTAAACCCATTTGTCTAACTACATGGTTCACTTAAAGCTGAGAGAGTGCTGCCTGCAAAAACAGAAGCTCAGAATATATACATTCATAGACCTGTCTACAGAGATCATCACCCTTTATCCCTTGAGTCTTGCACCTTTGTTTTTAAAGCGTCTATCTGTGTTTGACACAGGACTAGACATTTGAACTCATCAGAGGCCCATCTCCATATTTTTAACATTTGTTTTCTCAGAGTGTTGTCTTGGGGGGGGGGGCTTCTCTGCAGCTGACCAGTCCTTCACTCTGACCAATCCTCATCTGCCATTTCCCACTGCCAGCCAGTCCTGGCATGAATCCTAGCCAGCCTCTTTTCTGGTCAATCAGGGGAGGGGTCTGGAAGTCTGAGTGACTTTCAGAACTGTATAAGATATCTTGTATTTCTCTGTATGTTTATGTTTGCCCATTTTGAAGCAAAATTACTGTAGTTGCATCTTTTTTGGCCAAATTGTAATAAACCTCTGTGGCTTGTTTTCAACTTGGTGAGTTGGTTTCTCTGTCCTGGTATATCTGATTTTTTAGCATAGCTCACCAGGCACAGAACCTCTTTAACTGCAGTCCTAGTTAACTACAACAGTAGTGCTGTTTATGAATTATGATGTACAAGTACCAACCAATATTTTTCTTTTGTCTTTCTAAGATGGGACTGTGAAACTAGCCAATGGAAAACACAAGTGTGAGGGACGTGTGGAGATGCTTTACAAAGGAAGTTGGGGAACAGTCTGTGATGATGAATGGGGCATGAATCATGCACAGGTTGTTTGTCGGGAGCTTGGATGTGGAGCAGCTGTCTCAGCACCTGGAAGAGCTTGGTTTGGTCAGGGTTCAGGCCCAATTCTCATGGATGATACACATTGCAGAGGGACTGAGATCAACTTAAAGCAGTGCTCCCATAAAGGTTGGGGAATACATAACTGTCTTCATAATGAAGATGCTGGTGTTGTTTGCTCAGGTAATCTTTGACTGATGATTTATATTTCTCTTAAACATTAATGCTCATAGAATGTAACATAGATGCTACCATAGCACAACAGTAGGGTTAGAGGGAATGAAGAAATAGCCCTTCTAGTAAGAATTCTGTTACCTAAATGAAAATTATCTTCATTCACACTTATAACTTGTTATTTGCTGTGTTTGTATTCTCTTGGTCACATTGCCTGATCTTTCCCTTGGATGACTTCTGTATTTCAAAATACAAAAGTTCAAGTTACTGCAGTGCAGGCATGTAGGGGGGGGGGGGGGGCTTGAGGGGCTTCAGCCCCCCCCCCTGAAATTCTCATGGTGGTCCGCGAGAAGGCCTTACTGGTGTATTATTTAAACTGTTATGTTTATTCATATCATGATCTGATCACCATACTCAATATATCCCATATGCATGGGGGTATTGGGGTAACGATACAAAAGGTTTGCTAGGTAGACCCTCTTTCACTCAGACTCAGCCCCCCCCGAATCAAGCTCAGCCCCTCCCGAAGCAAAATCCTGGCTACGGGCCTCCAAATCCTGGCTACTGGCCTGCTGCAGTGATAAAAATAAAACTCACCCCCCCCCTCCCCCGAATCAAAATCCTGGCTACTAGCCTACTGCAGTGCTACAAATATAGGAACTGAAGAAAAATCTATTGGTGGTAGAATTCTTATTTGGGGAAGCAGTGTCCTCATTTGCCTCCTCCACCTCTAGCTATACCTCTGCTTTAATAGGGGAAATAACTTTATTAGTTGTTTGCCAAACTCTCTATGCAGTATACAAATAGTGAGAAAAAGTGTTACCATCATTCCCATTTCTGATATAGCATCTAGTCCTTGGGCTTAGTGTCTAAATAACCTTTGGGTGTGCTTATTTCTAATTACGTATATGTATGTTGTCTCCTTTTTACATTAGCGGACAAAAAACAGGAGCAGATGCCAATAAGCTTACAATTTTTTAAATGATAGCTCAGTAGAAGGAGAGAGGAAGTGGCTCTTGCTTCTTAACTCAAAATATTAATCCTCATTAGTTTTTATTGCTTCATCTTAGCAGGAAGTTGGAGACTGGGTATTCTTACTGGCTGGAAATAGGAGAAACGAGCATCCTGTAACAATTCAGTTTAGACTCCTTCCAACTTGAAAAAGCAGTTCCAGACTATTGACAGAACCAAGTCATTATAATCTCTTTACCAGACCTGTGATGGTTGCTGTTTACAGAAGAGTTAACTGAGAAGCTACACCTATCATCATCACTGATTAGTCTTGCTAAGACTAATCATCACTGATTAGTCTTGCTGCACTGATAGATACTTAGGATCTGAGTTCTATCATTCATATCGTAAACATGATATATCAAATAACATATTACAACTCTGTATGAATATGACTTTGGAAGAGAATTCGCTTGCACATTTTCCTTGCATTAGCCAGAGGGACAGGCTTCAGTGGTCAACATTTTACACAGTCAGAGTCACCATTTAGGAGGCTATGTTTCACTGATTCACATGTTGCAATAATTCTCTTTACAGACTATGACACTCATCTATCAGTTACTCTTCAAGATAAGATGAAGAGTAACTGATAGACCTTACAGAGTGGCATATTAAGTAAATGGAAAACACCTGACACCAGCAGGATGCATAGAAATGTTTCCAAATTAATTTCTTGATGTTTGCTATATGTTCTAATGGTGTTGCAAGATTTGTGCTATTTTAATAGTGTCATACAAATAATTTAATAGCTATTTTAATCAATTTCTTCTCATTTTTTATCTTTCTCCAGGTATAACCAAGATGGCCACTACTGCAGGTAAGCATTGCTATTGTGGTATACAAATAATTCATGCATTTACTATTAATGATGAAATTAGATGGGCTTTTATAACTTATTGTATCTAAATCCATGGAAAACAAATGAGATCAGCAAGATGCATGGAAACTTTTCCAAATTAATTTCCTGATGTTTGCTATATGCTGTAATGGTATTGCAAGATTTGTGCTATTTTAATAGTGAGTAAATCCGTTTTTTTCTTCTCGTTTCATATCTTTCTCCAGGTATTACCAAGATGGCCACTACTGCAGGTAAGCATTATTTTTGTGACATTGATGATGAAATTAGATGGTCTTTTATAACTCATTGTATATAAATCCATTTAAAAAATATCTAGGTTAGCTCATAAATTAAAATGCAGAATCAAGTTAAGCATTACAATAAATATGTGACCTCCGCCTAAACCATAACCATTTATCTAGCCCTATATACTCTCTATATATAATTCAGGTCTTCATGAGGCTCTGCATTTTCTTGTCCCTTGCTGTAATCATTACTGTTACTGGTAGGAAGGAAGGAAAATGGGAACATACTGATAGGCATAAGAAAACAACACTTAATAATATCTCGTGGAAAGGGGATCTGGACCTACAGCCTGCCATTTGGGCTTACAGCCATGTGTATGCTAATGCTTAGTTTTGGCACTCACTGTGATTCCAGTTTTTTCTGCTATACAACCAGCATAGGTTTGCCCTGTTAGCTTCAGGAGTACTGTATTAGAAACTAGTACAGCACAGTCTTCAATTGTGTCCTGGCTTCTAAAGACACCTGATTTTATCCTGCTGACACATAATTTCCCATATTAAGGGAAATACATTGATGCGGCTGAAATTCCATTCAACTTGGGGAAAAGCAGGAGGTACTACAGGCATAGTTGCGTGACTTTGCTTGAAACATCCACAGCCGGTTCTATTGGGAGGCTGGATAATGATTACTCCTTACCCAGGAAGGCTATTGTTGCTTTGGTTGCTTTCCACATCTGTGAATTTCTTCAGTGCTTGGCTCCAAGGGATCCTCAGAGTAAGGAGAGTCAGAAAAATATCTCATGAGCTATTGGAAACTTCTGTCATAGAGTTGGAGATATGCTGCCCAACAACAGTGCCACACAGTGTTGTTTTGATTTGAATGGCCCTTTCATAGAATCATAGAGTTGGAAGAGACCCATGGGCCAACCATTCCAATTTCCTTCCATGCAGGAAAAAAACACAACCAAAGCACCCCCAAAAGAGGCCATCTAGCCTCTGTTTAAAAATCCTCCAAAGAAGGAGCCCCCACCACACTTCAGTATACAGTTGTAATACTATGACATCCTATGATATTCTGGGATTTGATTACTTTAGTAAGGTACTAGAGTTCTGGTTCGCCTCTCTCTCAACTGCAAATCCCACATCTCCATTAGACTATGGCATTCAAAGTAGAATTATGGTGCTATAATTCTGTAGTGAGAAAAGGCAACAGTTGTGTCTGATATTTCCAAAAGTCTAAGCTGCACTGATATGATTTGCGTGTACGCCATGTGTTGCAGAATCATTTAGACATCACTCCTAAAATATACTGTAGTGCAAGCTTCATAAAACAATGTTATGAAATAATGTCTTCTTGTTGTTTTTCTTTAATAGCTCCTGTGAATGATACAACCTCAGATCCTGGTAAAATTTCTTGTTATTCACTCAAAACCCTATTGTTATGAATGTATATAAAATCCAACCATTGGTTTACTAAAACCAAATTATCTATAGAAAAAAAATCTCATTTATAGAAAAGAAGCATGAAAAATCCTACTTTTGGTGTTCAAACATTTAGTTTTCAAGATCTTAATAGTATTTATGACAAGATCAGAACTCAACCCATAAACTAATTAGGAACAGAAATGCAGTGTGTAAGTCTTCAATACCAAAATCAGCCCCATCTCATGAGGTTGCTATACAACTTCTAGTCTAATAGTTTTAATCTTTTTATAAAACAAATTGTTCTTTCCCCTCAAGTCTAAAATATTTTGATCTACAACAGAGATATTTCATAAGAATAAAGTGTTGCTGTGGAGACCTATTTTCTTTCCAGCTTCTATGAGGATTCTGAGGGAATCTAAAGGATATCACAGTCCCTGCTAATCAAAATTTCCCAGGGCTTGGTCCAGTAAGGTCTGGCGGCATTGTATATCTGAATAGTCATACACCTTAATTTTATATAGTGTCTTGTACTAAAGCCATTCATTGAAACAAAACAATGTTCCAGCGATCTAGCAAATATGAACAATTGAGAAACAATGTCATAAAAACAAAACAATACAGTCTTCACTGTAAATATAAATTCCCTACACAGGGGGTCTAGTGTACCATCTGAATTATTCTTTTAAACGATTGGCAAATATGCATATATCCTAATTATATATTTTTTACATTTGCTTCTGTTTTCTGATTTTGCTTTTCTTTCCCCATTGTCCAGTAACACTTTCATGCCTGCCAGACTACATGAAGGCAGTTATTGAACGAGATTATCTCACATCAAAATGTGGCTCTCAGTGTCAATGGTACTTAAGTGACCCTGCCTGCAAACCTGTGGTTACAAGACAACAAATTATATTCTATATTCCATATGATGGTTGTGATACAAGACGTGAGGTAAGACATCAAATCTACCAAATATCAGTATAATATATGAGCTCCTTACTTTCTTAGTTTTAAGAAGGAGAATTTCAAAAAAAATTAAAAAATCTCTTATCATTAATTCTGAGACAAAAACACATTCAAACATTTTAGCTTTAAAAGCCAAGATAGGGACTTGAAAAGAAGCTAAGAGTCCTATGATCCTTTCTCAATGTGATAAGGTGGTAATTCAAATGCCCACACATTGAGTGGGAATCACAACCTTGGTGGAAACAGGGGAATTTGGACTGTTGACATTAAAAATAGTTATGAAGTGCTAAGTAGTTGGGGCAGCAAGTATGTGATCTATACTGCAACATCTCAAAACTTTCTGTTCACAATGGCTAAAGTAGAATTGCAGAGATTTTTTCAATAACGAAGTTGGTGCAAATATTTTTCATTAGCAAGGTGCTATTCTTTTTCTAGCAAAGAAACCATACTAATATTGGGAGATATGTTGTAACAAAGGATGGGTAAGAGAAAACAAAAACAAAGCAGTATTTACATGTACATTTGTGGCTTTGATGTTTGTTAATTTGATTATTCATGGATTTGATGAAAACATTTTCTCTAGAAATCGCTAGGTCCTCCAGTATAACTCTGTCGCCAACTTCTTCCAGAAAGTGATCATAGACTCATGCCAGATTACCAAGAAATTCCTAGAGAGATGTTCTTTCAGGTTAACAAAATAGCATTTTTAATTTGAGATTTTTAACTTTGGTACACCTAACCCCAGTGAATGTAGAGGTCTGGCCTAAACTTGAAATATTATTTCCTTTGCACCATTGCTTATATAATGCCACAAGCTTTTCTTTTAAAAAGCACTAGGAAAAATGGTAAGATGGTTCTCTGCATTGCTCTCCTCCACCATCTTTCATCGATGTTGACATTAGAGGATGGCAGTAGCTAAGGGAAAAAAAATAGAAGGAAGGACTCAAGAGAAACAGCTCCTGCCCCATCCTAATTTTCTTCCATATGATTTGGCTACCTTGTTTGGTTTAATGCTGGAGCCAGTTGCTATGGGAGAGAAAAAGCATCAAAGAAGGCCTTGTAAGAACCATCAGATTATTACCACAGTTTGTCCTATACAGTACCTGAATTCTTCTGTCTTTTTGAAAAACTCTATTTGTTTACTTTTTAACAGAATGCTGGAAGAATTAGCAGTTTCTCCAACAGTGTCAGAAGTTCTGGAAGTAGCATAAATTCCCAATTCCGCTTCACTTGCGTAATGGAACCAAGACGAATGACAGAAATAGCACGCAATGTGGATGAGCGTGACTCCACAAAAAACGTTCAAAAGCAAAATACACAAGTGTATATGAAATGCTCATTCTTTGACTCAGATTCATTTCGGCACCCATGGAACAACTTGAATTACTTTATAAATGAGATGCAGGACTCATTTTTCCAAGCTACTTTCTATAGTTTTAATAGGAACCTGATATTATTTGTGGATACATGTGTGGCTTCTCCTAATGCCAATCACTTCGGTATTGGGTCATATGATGTCATAAAGCATGGGTAAGGAAGAACAAACAGCAAATCAGTCTTTCCAAATATCTTACCTAAAGCTAATTTCTCAGTATTTTGAGGAAATACTAGGTATGCAAGAAAACCAGCTTTTGTGTGGTCCTCATCCACCCTTTCTTATTGCTCTATTTTGCCAACTTATTCAAAGCCCAGCTTTATTTCATTTCTTTTGTTACCAAACATATCTGCAATGTATTTTCCTTTTTTTTCCCCCTTAGCACTACTTGCCTTTTCTAACCTTCCCATCTGGGAATCTTTCATCTTTTTGTCTGTTTGGTCTCTCTATTACTTAGTTATTTATTTACCCATAGCTGATTGTGAATTTATCTATCTACCACCTTGATCTGTCTTCAAAACCTTTCTCTGCTTCATTAATAGATCTGCTTATAACTCATGAATAGATAGAGAAAGAGAGGCTTTTATAATCCTACATGATGTCTTCTTAATTTAAAGAGTAATGGTGAAACCATACTTTGAGCTAAGCTGCGGTTGTTTGTTTTTGTTTTTTGATATTTTCTTATATTTGAAAAGTTATGCTTTAGGCTTGGGACTTTGCATACTCTATCAAAAAATGTTGAAACATTTTTATCAATATGACTCTCCCCCTTCCATCGTAGTACACATAGGTAGTTTGATAAAATCTTTCAACATATTGAAAAAATGTTTCAACATTTTTAGTTTATTACGACATACTATATTAGCCATTAGGGTTGGGCATAATTCCGTTTTTAATTCATATTTCGGATCAAATTTGTTAAATTTGTGCATATGAATCGATATTAGAAATATGTAGAAAAGATGGGGGGGGGAGTACGAAACTGAAACACTCACCAATCATTTTCATTAAGATTCTGTAACATTTGGATGCCTCTCAAGGTCAGTTTAATTTTCAGTATAATCATTAAGCAAACATTAAGCTAAGAAAACATAAAGTGATTTAAAAACCAATCCTTTTTCTTTAGCCTGATTGTCATAAGGAAGGCACACTCACCTGCCAAATGTATTGCTTATGGAGCCCCCGGTGGCGCAGTGGGTTAAATTTGCACAAACTTAACAAATTTGATCCGAAATATGAATTAAAAACGGAATTATGCACAACCCTAATGGCTAATATAGTATGTCGTAATAAACTAAAAATGTTGAAACATTTTTTCAATATGTTGAAAGATTTTATCAAACTACCTATGTGTACTGTGCCTGTGCCGGCAGGACTGAAGACCGACAGGTCGCAGGTTCGAATCCGGTGAGAGGTAGATGAGCTCCCTCTATCAGCTCCAGCTCCTCATGCGGGGACATGAGAGAAGCCTCCCACAAGGATGATAAAAATAACAAATCATCTGGGCGTCCCCTGGGCAACGTCCTTGCAGACGGCCAATTCTCTCACACCAGAAGCGACTTGCAGTTTCCCAAGTCGCTCCTGACACGACCAAAAACCTTGTGTCAGAACTATTACTGTCCCATGTGGCATCCAAACATAGAACATTTTTTCTTTTGATGTAGAAAACTCTTTCACAATTTCTTTTTAGATGCATGCTAAAGATGCAGCTATTTTTATGAACCTTCTTCTTGACCAGTGTTGCCCAGTCTTTGGTCCTCCAGGTGTTTTGGACTTCAACTCCATCAGCTTACCAGCTATTAGGATTGATGGGAACTGAGATCCAAAGCACCTGATAGACTAAAGGCTGAGAACCACTGTTCTTGGCCAGTCAGCAATTGAGGTTATAAACATGAATTGTGATAATTTAACTTTATAATGATGGGATTCTGTTGTTGGCACAATATACAGCCATGCCAATGAATTGTGACAATGCACAATGAGGGCATCACACAAGAATTTCCATTATGCCACAGAGTCTCACACAGTGCAACAGGAGACTTTGTGCATTGGAACATGTATATTAAAAACATGTTGTGTATCAAAACATGTCCAATAGTCACATAACTGACTTGCTTACATAGTAAATTCACTACTGTAATTACAATGATAATATAACCATCTGTTATATTTTAATTTTGTGGGCTGCACAGATTGCATGTTTTATTAGTGTTGTAAATGGCTTTGATATCCTCAGATCTAAGCAGCTAAAAAAGATAAACCATATGGATAGTATAATGCAGGTATGATCACCTATTATATACATAACAAAGAATAAACGAATCACATTCTTCCTTTCTTTCAGGTGCTCAGACAGTCATGATACCCACACCGATTATTTTGCACAAAATGGGAGGGCTACCCGCTTGAGATTTAAACCTTCCAGGATTTTCAGCAGATATTCCAGAGTTTACCTACAGTGCAAAATAGTGGTGTGTCGCAGATACGATTATTCCTCTCGATGCTACCAAGGCTGCCTTTCTAGGAAAACAAGGGAAGCAAGCTCAGAGCAAGAACAGCTGCAAGTTCTTGGGCCACTGAAACTTGAGTAACCTGAAGACATGAACCCTGACAGCTTGAATGTAGTGACTTGGTCATTCCCACCAAGTACAGTGAGAATACTTGTAAAATGAATCAGATTACATTAATCATTCAGGTGAACAGTTCCATTGATTTGGGCACAGTTTGATACACAAATCTCCCTTTTTTGTCTAGATTTCCTGCTGTCTTGTGATTCATTACAAAAGAGCTATGCAATCTTTTGCTTTACATTGCTAAAATGAATTGGATCAGTAACTTAACACAATAAATAAATCTAATTGGGAAAGTGTTATTTTTGTGTGTCTCTAAGCATATCAAGTAGGCTTGTGCATGGATTTGGTTCAGTCGGTTCACTTCAGCCAATCTAGCTTGTTCGGCCTGTTCAGCTGGCCATAACGATAAGGGCTCAGCCCGAAATAGCCCTTAATGCATGCAGCTTCTTCTCTTCTATTCGGGAGCATGCAGCACATGCCTCCTTAACCCCGTTCTTCAAACCCCAACTCCCTTGAAAGGAAGATAGGAAAGGGTCCCAGAAGAGATGCTTCCTTAACCCCGTTCTTCAAACCAAGACTCCCTTGAAAGGAAGATAGGAAAGACTCCCAGGAGGGATGCTTCCTCAACATTGTACTTCAAACCCAGAGTCTCTCAATAGGAAAGGGTCCCAGAAAGAGTGCTTACTTAACCCCATTCTTCAAACCCAGACTCTCTCAAAAGGAAGATAGAAAAGGGTCAAAGAAGGGGTGCTTCCTTAACCCCGTTCTTCAAACCCAGACTCTCTTGAAAGGAAGATGGATCCCAGGAATGAAAAGGGGACCCTTATAAGTTACCATTCCCATCAGTGGGCCAGATCTTTCGGTTGCCTAGCTTAAAACAGATTTTTCCATTAGCCAATTTTTGAGAGGCTTCCAAAAACAGATCTGGGTACCCAATGAAATTCAGATACCAAAACTAGATTGTCCTCCAGCTGAATTGCACAAGCCTAATATCAAGACCAATTTATCATAGGTATTTTCTCCCCCTAATGTGGTTTTCATCCATCACTGCAACATGGGTAACATATTACCATGTGGTGGACCCATGAGAAGATACAATATGACCAGAAGCTGTTTCATGTACTAACATCAGAAAATATATGTTTTCTCTAGGTATGTTACAGTCTTCCAAGTAATTCTATGGTATAATACCAGATATTACCAAAGTATTGTATTGGAGGATCTAGCAAATTCCTAGAGATGAATTTGCTATAAAGAAGTCACTCTATAGTAACTTCTGGCACAAGTCATTCTTTTGAATAGGACTCATTAGCCATGGTAAATTCAGAAATTATTCCTCGTAGATATGGGAGCCATCCTATATTTTCACTATGTGAAGACATGGATCACATGTAATAATTTCCAAAGAGATTACAAAACTGCTGCAAAATATTGAAGGTTCTTTTTTTGTTTGATCATATCAGCATATTAATGGGTTTCTTATTCAGTTCTCTCTTGAAATATGGCAGGTTTCCCTCCTTCACTTCCTATCTTCTGTCCTTTGTCCTCCGCATTGATTACACAGCCCAACAACAAAATTCATGGCGTCTTGGTTTTTAAGTGTGTTCCCATGATTCTTTGAAGCACTGATTCAGAAAATTGCATTGGATAGACCACATCAGCTCTGGTTTCTCAGATATGGTTATCATCATTTTCTATGGGAAAGTAGATTTCAACCGATAGATGGCATATGGTCAGTATCTCAAGAACTAGAGTGGATAGGGGAAAGCCGGTGCCATTTTGTGGAATCAACAGGTTAAATATACCCAGAAACAGGGCATCATTTGAGGCATTTGAATGTGTCTTGGCCAGTGTTATCACATCCAGTTTGATGCAACATTTCAGAAATTAATTTCATGCATTTCCAATGAGCCTTTTCTATTAATCAAGGGTTACAGTCAAAGTGTGAAAGGGCTTTAACAATAACAAGCATTTTCCGTGTTTTGAAATCTGGTTTTGTATGTAGGGACAAAAGTTACCCGTTTCTAAATGCATCCCATTTTTGATAGGGTTTGACAAATTGTTGAAATCAGCGTATTGGAGATAAGCCTTATGGCTTGTGTTAAATAATCACAATGAGGGTAATAATTTCTGCCTCTCAAAGAAACATTAGAACTGCAATGAAAAATAGTCCAATTGTTCATGGTACTGCTGATGTTTACAGAGCTGTATGCAACCTTCTGATTAGAAAACCTCCCACGCCACACCATCTTGAACCTTTTTCTTCAATATACAAGCATGGTTGTGTGCCTGTACACACATATATATGATGATCTAGCATATTTTAAAGTTTGACTAACATCACATCTGTAACTAGGAAGTTTAGTTATTGTCATAGAACAATAGCGTTTCTGTTTTCCTGGATATTTCTCTTGCTTCATTTTTCTTTCTTTCCATGTACTCTTTTATCTTTTTTGGGGGTGGTGGTAGTGGATATTTTTTATATTTTATAGAGAGAATATTTTTATGCATTTTTAAACACATTTATGACATACTCGGTTTTTAAAATTGTGTGATATTCGGCAGGATATAAACATTTGAAAAAAGGAATATGCATGTTATATATTCACACCCATGCCCACACACTAGTATGGAAATAAAATCTCATTGTCTCATTGTTTCAAACCATGCACAACACTTGAAAAGCAGAATGTGCTACATAACAATATGTGATTGTCATGATGACTATGGTATGAACTTCATATTTACAGGGGCTATGTTACCATGGATACACAATAACTGGATAATCATGAACATATAGGATCATACAATTGTATCTAGAGAAAACATATTTTGTTGGATGTGGATAAATGAAAGCATGTGTTGTCAAAAAAAAGTCTGGTTCTTTCCCAGTGTGGAGCAGCTCTGGATCAGCCCAAACAAATTCACGCAACAAAAGCCAAAAGTAGAACAGAAATTAGTTTATTCAGCTCTGTTTTCCAAACCCAGCATGTCCCTCAAGCCCAAACTGGAACATTTTATAGAAAAGTTAATTCGGAAACATGAGGAATAGAGGCTATTGGTGAAGGTTTCATTGGATGCGGAGGCTCGCCCATGCCTGACCGTGGATTGGCTGGAATGTAAAGGTCTTTAAATCTCAGTTGCCAATTGGCTAAGCAGTCTTGCGGAAATTTCACTCGTGTCATTGGTTAAATCTGAAGTTCATCAGCTGCTTGGTGTGTCCACCCCCTGGGGGAATCTGAGGATGGAATTTGGGCATGGCTAGGATATAATGGGCACTTGGGAGGATTACACCTATGGTCACAGTTTCCAAGTCAGGAGCCCCCGGTGGCGCAGTGGGCTAAACCCCTGTGCTGGCAGGACTGAAGACTGACAGGTCACAGGTTCAAATCCGCGGAGAGCACGGATGAGCTCCAGCTTCTCATGTGGGGACATGAGAGAAGCCTCCCACAAGGATGGTAAAACATCAAAAACATCTGGGCGTCCCCTGGGCAACATCCTTGCAGACAGCTAATTCTCTCACAGCAGAAGCGACTTGCAGTTTCTCAAGTTGCTCCTGACACAACACAAAAAAAGTTCCCAAGTATGGGATTCCTGGGCACCCTGATGAGCTCTGAGATTTAAGGACAAATTGCTGATATGGCAAAGAGGTGAGTAAATAGGTCTCTCAGTTCCTGTGGTGCTTGGAACCTTCATGACGCAGGAGAAATGTCTGAGACCTATCTCTGCTTATAGTGATAATGTGAGTATGGGGAAAATGTGTAGTGCTTTTGCAAATTGGAGTACTTGGAGCAACACACCTGTGATTTTCCCATATATATCCCTCTCACTTGAACTCAAATGACATTTTCCCCTAACAGCCATGCAGATTGATAGTGTTATCTAATAAACCGAAATATGTAAAAGGGTCAGAACATATACTGAGGCATCTTCACCAAAAATGGAAGCCATCAGAAAATGTGTTTTCTTAGCACTTTTCTTCATTTGGACTCTTCCTGAAAATAACCTGGTTAAATTACAAGGTATGGAAGACCTGAGTCATATTTTTAACAATGTGAAGCTATGCACAATTAATATGAAAGTCGTGATACCATCTTATTTGCTTAAAATTTTAAAGTGTGCTGTTCAGTGGTAGGTCTTCTTTGGATCCAACATCTCTAAGAAAAAGATTGAATTGTGACTAAATATTCACTTCCAATGCTTCCTCTATAGACATCACTAAACTGCAGAGTGTAAAGCTAAGCCCTATAGCATACTTCCCTGAAAAGTAAGTCTTGTAATTAGCAAAGAAAATTCTGTAAAGATGCATCTATACTGTAGAATTCATGCAGTTTGACATCATTTCAACTGCGTGGCTCAGTCTTATGGAATCATGTGAGCTGTAGTTTTACAAAGGCTTCAGCCTTCTCTGCCAAAGAGGGCTGTTGCTTCACCAAACTACAAATCCCAGAATTCCATAGCATTGAGGCATGGCAGTTAAGGTGGCATCAAACTGCAATAACTCTAGGGTGTAAATGCATCCTAAGAAGTGGTTCAGGACACAGTGTCTTGGGCTGGTAACCACAAAATAATTCATGCATGTGAACTAACCTAACAACTTAACCATTTGTGTCCTACTGACTAAACTGTGAGTAATTGATGTGTGAGAATTACTCCATTGAAATCAATAGGACGTAAAACATTCACATTTAGCTGGATTTGAAGCCAGGATTATAGCATTGCTAAATCACTGGGATTATATTGTTGCCTTTCACCATTGATCTTATGCTTATAGGAATTGTTCCTGTTTACCTTTCCATAGTGGGATCAGTTTTCGATCTCTGTCCTGGGCTTTCCTCACGTTTCCCTGATTCCATCTTTATTTCTCTATTTCCCAAGAAGATGATGATATTTTCCCCATTGTAGATCTTCTGTCAAAAACTATCAATGCTATAATTGTGCTAGTGTGACACTTGTTCAACACACGCCAGTGAGCTACCTTGATGTTGTAGTACTTCCTAAAAAAGGATGAAAAGGGGAGATCACAACATGTAACAGGAAAGTCTTTGCGTGTAGTGTACCCAGCCCTTCTTATCACCTTCCCTCTTAAGGATAAAGTGGGAAAATATTGAGGTCTGGCTTATGCTATTTTTAAACACACATTATATGGACTGTGCCTTCAAGTCACCTGTCGACTCATGACAGCCCCATTAATGTAATATGGTTTTCTGATAAAGAGACTACTGAGAGGTAGTTTTATCAGTTTCTTCCTTTGAAATATAGACAACAGCATCTGGATTTAATTGGC